AGCAATAGGTCATCTACCTTTGAGAGGAATTAACTGAGCTGTTGTGAATCAGTGTTCCATAAATATGATGCAACTGAAAGGAGAGAAAAATATCTGGACCAGTAATTTCCCACACTTCTTAACACATTACCATGTGGCTGCTGATAAAACACTAAGAATTAGCATCAAGCTACATGTATTATTATTTTGTGTGTGTGTGTGTGTTCATTATATCTACCAATAAACATTTATATTCTTGAAAAATCTGAATTTCTAACCTTTAAATTAAAACTGCTCCAGTCATGTTAGCGTGACAAAGCTAGCTCCTAACTCAGAGCGAGCTAATGGCTCAGTCACATGAGTGAATTTCTGTTTATTTAGACAAATATTTAATTACTGCAGTTAACCGGCGTATAATCACAATCACAGTCTGATATCAGACTGATAACCAATATCTGACTGCTCCGTCTTAGGGCAATATTTATGGCGGCTTTTAGTGATGGCATTGTTGTGCAATCTTATTTTGTAGTTTTGCTTTAGTAAAGTTTTCCTTTAAGGACAGACTTTGCAGTTAAATTATATTTTATTGCAATATCACAATGTTAAGAAATTGTGATAACATTGTATCATGAATGAATCGCGGGTTCATGGGTTGTCTGCTGATTCCCACCCTTAATTGAAAGGGCCTCAACTTTCCGGTGCCAGCTTCAACTCCAGGCAAACTCATCTGATCTCTTTTGAAGAACAAGGACTGATTGATTTAAAAATAGATAAAGAAATAAAAGGTTTATCTATATGGAAAATAATTAACAGCTGCAGTAGCAAAGTTTTGTGTGTCTATAAAGCAGTAAAGGAACCTAAAAAATGTACAGTATCATGTTTATAATATTCTGACTTGGTGTGATTATGGAGGCCGAGTTCAACAGAATTTGCAAACACTGTTTCATGTTTGCCCAACAGAACGCCAACAGGATCGGGCCCAGACGCAGACCGGCTGAAGAGAGGTGGGTGGAAAGGAACAGGCGGCGCACATGCAGTGAAGCTAAGAGGAAATGAGCTGGGAGGAAAGAGAGGAGGAAGAAGGGCTAGTGACAGAGCTGATGTAGTTGGCATGCGGGTCCAGTTGAGTTCACTGGGACAGACTCACTTCGTTTGAGCAACCTTTAACACTGAAAAGATAGTTTTTGCTCCCTTGTTGTCACGTGCCTGTGCTGGTGTGACTTCTGATTTAGGGTATGCATAAGTACATACTGAGAAGACTGCAGTCATGGCATGAGCAAATATCCACTGTACATCAGTCCCATCCCTTTTGTTAGCTCACGTTACAGAATCAGGTGAAGCCAGGGAGCAAACAAGGCAGCAGTGTGGGAATGAATGGAGCCGCAGAGGCCTTATCTCCATACAGGAGACTGACTATTACACAACTATTACACTAAGAATCAGCAGCGGTTCCAGTATGAGGAAGACCGACTGTACATGGGGTTATACAGCCTGTCTGGCATCCTGCTCATGAGCAAACATTTCTAACCTTCAGCTGCAGTCCCCTGAGGAGGCCTGCTCCATGGCAGTCGCACTACACTTGGCCCTAACAGACACCTTGACACAATGTTCAACAGAGACCTGACACTATGGAAGAATCCATCCATCCATCCATTTGCTTCCGCTTATCCTTTTCAGGGTCGCGGGGGGCGCTGGAGCCTATCCCAGCTGTCATAGGGCGAAAGGCGGGGTACACCCTGGACAGGTCGCCAGTCTGTCGCAGGGCCAACACACAGGGACAGACAACCATTCACACTCACTAACACATTCACACCTAGTGGCAATTTGGATTATCCAATTAACCTATCCCCACAAGCTGCATGTCTTTGGACGGTGGGAGGAAGCCGGAGTACCCGGAGGGAACCCACGCAAACACGGGGAGAACATGCAAACTCCACACAGAAAGACCCCGGCCTGATGGTGGAATTGAACTCAGGACCTTCTTGCTGTGCGGCATGATATGGAAGAATCCCATAATGGTAAAAATGGCAGCTGTTCCACCACTGCACCCAACGAGCTTGTTACAGTCAAACAGCAGCAGTGCACGGGCTCAGCAGAGGTTCAGCGGCGCAGTGGCAAAAATACAGCATGTCTCATTATCATGTAAATATGAAGGTACATGTACTTGTTGTTTTCTTGACTTATGATGATGTGATTTAGCGTGTCGTCTCTTCTGCTCTTTGCTAGCAGGGACAGAGACAATGATTGTGTCAGCACTTTGGAAATAAGCTGTATAACATGAGTATAACACATTGGGAATAAAGCATGCCAATTCAAGCTCGTTTAAATAAGGGCTCTCAGACCCAAAGAGGTGCCCAGGGTCATTGTCAAGCTGGCTAGCAAGCAGCAAGACTTGCTTCTGGAAGAGTTTTGAAACAGCCTCTCCTATAGGTCAGGGTAACTGTGTTCCACAGGAGCATGACAACCGATGTGGAGGTGGCTGACATGTGGAGTTATCGTACTACAATAACTCAAAGTTGACTTTGAGTTACTGTAGTACGATAACATAAGACAGGACAAGTGGGAAGGAGCAGGTCGAGTGTGTTAAGTGAAAGTGACAGTTACTGATAAGGGGGAAGCTTGTTCATGCATATCTTTTCTTTAGAATTTGCTACAGCTTTTTTTTTCTTTTTTGTGTTATAAACCATCTGAGAACAAACCAAGAACCCACTCTGAGTGCTACGCGTGGTTCTGCTGCGATGTGAGCACCCCCCTAATAGGCCTACTAGGCCGATCGTGGCTCAAGAGTTGGGAGTTCGCCTTGTAATCGGAAGGTTGCCGGTTTGAGCCGTGGATCGGACAGGTCGTTATGTCCTTGGGCAAGACACTTCACCCGTTGCCTACTGGTGGTGGTCAGAGGGCCCGGTGACGCCAGTGTCCGGCACCCTCGCCTCTGTCAGTGCACCCCAGGGTGGCTGTGGCTACAATGTAGCTTGCCATCACCAGTGTGTGAACGTGTGTGTGAATGGGTGGATGACTGGATGTAAAGCGCTTTGGGGTCCTTAGGGACTAGTAAAGCGCTATACAAATACAGGCCATTTACTAAATAGCTTATAGGAGCTCTTGACATCAGATCACGTGACCTGCACAGAGAATGCCACGTTGTCATGGAACTGTAGATGTTCAAGTGTTTTTTGTGCCAATGAGGATCACGTGAATTTATGAAAAGCTTCACTCCAGCCACTAAAAACAAGAAAGAAATTGTTTAGGCCTCCTTGGCTCTTATGGCGCCAACTACAGCCTTTATTTATTCATTCAGTTACTGGGTGTTGCTGGGGTTTTAACCATTTTTACCAAGGTAGTGATCCATTCTTCAACTCATCACTTACTTCTTTAGATGACATCCTGAACAATGCTAATATTTTATTTAAGTCTAATATTTAACCTTAGGAGACCTGGTCTGGACCCTGGACTGCAAAATGTTCACTTCTGACCCACCTTCTGTCCTTCCTGTCATTATTAAAGTGATGACGCAAAAGTGCAACAAATGTAGTAGTAAGCTGGGGTGGGTTAAACTGGTTCTGCTACCACACTGGTCGGACCTGAAGTGTCCATAAAATGCGCATGAATGTGATGTAGCGTATTTACATTCTGTGCCAACGCATTCCAAAGCATTGGCTCACCTTATTTTAATGAAAATGTGGCAAAATGAAAGACAATGAAGGGCTTTTTAAATAAGCAGTGTAGCGAGTTTTACTGCTTTAGTAAAGCAGCATCTGCTAAACTAGTTATGCAACTGTTTGCACCTCAAGTCGACGTAGTTAAGGTAATGTTTACTCTTATGGTCTGTCATTAGCACTTCCTTTAATGTTCGTAATGACTTATCGCTGTCTGAGATCACGGGCTCCCTCTCTAAATGAGTTTAAACAGACTCCCTGACAGCCAGGGATTAATTAACCATGATAAATATAATCATCTTAATTTTATATTAATCATGGTTAATACTGGGGATATTTATAACTGTAGGGAAATGACTACAACTAGTGACACCACAGCTATATAGAGCAGGTCACTTGTTTCAGCATCTTAACTTATGTCATCATGACTGGAATATCTTTGAGGTTGCTAATGAAACAAAACAATGCAGCTGAAGATGTTACCTCTCACCTTGTTACCGTCCTACACACTCTCCTGTTTCCTGCAGCTTGGTAGCTAAGCAGGAACATGTTTTCCCAGATATAACCTAATACTTCCCCGGATGCTTTTGTGTCTTTGAACCCGTTTGTTTTCGGTGTTCAGCAGACCTGACCTATTAAAGCTCACTGCCAGCTGAGCTCTGCTGCCAGGCTGTGGGGCAAATAAAGCCTGTGTGATGTAGAGCTCGGCAGTTCTTACCACCATTCTCTCACAGCAGGGTCACCGCTCCTGGATGTGATCTCCAAAATAAGCTGCACTGCTCCACATTCAAACTAGAACAACCTCTGTGTGTGTGTGTCTTGTCCTGCATGCAGGCCTGGTCTCTGGGGGTTTCTAGTTTTCTGTGTGTGACAGTTTCACTAATATGGGTTAAATCTGCTGTTTGACTGAAGACCTTGCCTCGCAGGGAGTCCCCATATACTCACATCTAAACTGCACGTCTTCACTAATGCATCATTTTATGAATGCAAAACATTATAACATCCTGTCAGAGACGTTTGCAACTTGCAAACGTTTGTGCACAGATTTTGCAAAGGGGGAGGAAAAGCAGTGTTTTGCTCAGGAGCACAGCAGCTGCAGAGCTCCCTGTTAAGGACACAAACAGCTTGCTGTAAGTCATCCAAGAGGACACTTTCAACGCTCACCGCGGGTGAGATAAAGCTCGGGGCATCTATCATTAACAACCACACCTGCTAACTAAGCTCCCACTTCTAGGTCTTATCCACTGCAGCACTGTGAGCATACTAAGGCGGTATGTGGTGTTAAAGAGTGGCCCGGTGCAGCCTGCACGCTAGGCCCGCAACATCCATCCTAACAGCAGCAGCAGGAGGAGCAGCCAGACTCACCCAGTGTCTTGACTGCGATCTGCCGCGTCAGAGGCGGCGGCAGGTTGATGCAGACCAGATCCACATCCTGATGCAGCAGCACGTCGTCGATCCTGTTGGTGTAAAAGGGCACGTTCATCTCCTTGGCCAGCTCCTCCGCCTCCTCCTGTGTCCGGCCCCACAGCGCTTTAACGGCGAAGCCCTCGTTCTTCAGCAGCGGGATGATCACCCGTGCGGTGAGGCTGGTGCCGAACACGCCGACCCCAGGAAGCATAGCTCCAGGTTATTAGTTGGATTTGGTTCTGTGTGGATTCGCTTGGTGTTCGCAGCTCCGGACGACAGCAGAGCTGTGAAGGGAAGCGGCGGCGGGGACCGTCAGGTTGGCCATCCACCTGCACTCACACAATGTCTGTGCGGCATTTCCTCTCTGCGAACGGACACGTACTGTCGTTATCACCCGCCGAAAAATAACCCGAGAAAGGCGGAAATCCGACCCGGGCTTCTGCGCTTGAGCGAAGAAGTCTATAAATGAACCATTCCGCTCTTCACCTCGTCCGCGTCTGACAGCTATCACCGCACTGACTGCGCCAAGCAGGCGGAGAGCGTGTCCCCTCCTCCGCGGTTTGCTTACTCCTCCCCCTGCAGGACCCTCCCTGAAGATAACAGGGCTGGCTTGGTCTGACGGCAGCTTGGGCCGTCCTGTGCCCGCTCCCCGTAGGATCCCAGTGCTACGGTCCTGGAGACGTTACTGATGGTGCAGCACACACACACACACACACACACACACACACACACACACACAGGAAGCGCTACTAGCAGCACCATTTCAAAATAAAAGCTTCACGTTGCATGGTTGTTCGTGTGTATGTGTGATTCATATGAGTTACAATCAACCAATCGAATAAAACTTTAATTCTGCAGCACTTTTCATAGAAACTAGTAGAAAAAAGTGCACATTCAGAGCAGAAAATAAACAAAACCTGCACTACACTAACAACACCTCTTTATTGTGGTAACATGAGACTCTTTGTGCTAACAATCAAGCCAAACACCAACATCATCAAATATACAGTTGAAACCAGATATTTACATACTCTTCCAATAAAAACACAATCACTTTTTTAATTGTAAAACATTAAATCAGACTAAATGTTTATTCTTTTTAGATAAATATAAAAAACATATTTGTTAAATTTAAGAGTAAAGAGAGAAATTGTATGTATTTCTTAATTACAAATGGCACCCAAATTGTATTCAAAATTGAGCCACACTTATGGAGGTCTACAATTCTTTTCCTGGTGTTTTGGTTGATATGTCTTCCCATGTCAAAGAAACAGGCTCTGTATTTTGGGGGTGCCTTATATGCATCCACAGCTGTGCCACCAATTTACTCAAATGGACTCTACTAACCTATCAGAAGCTTCTTGAGCTCAGAATGGAATGTCTGGAGTTTTCTTATTAATTAAAGATACAATAAACGTAGTGTATATATACTCCTAAATTTGATGAAAGTGATAAAAAAAATAGACAGCTCTGGCTGCGTGGTTCCTCCACATATCTGCTTTTTCTGATGTTAATAGCGTAGAAACCACACACACCAACAACACTGTAGCTACATTCACTGCAGCTACAGAAGCTGCAGAGGACCACATCACAACCATGACTAAATTGTGTCTGCTTACTGTTATGTCTTTTTGATTTACTGTCTTATTATTAACTAATAATAATTTCAGTTTTTTGCAGTGCTAAGGCAGAAATATTACAAGATTTTCACGGTAGTAAATGCTTCCCAGAAGATGTTCCCTCTGGTCATTCTGTACCGTTTCATGTTTTAGCAACCTGAATGTTGACCTGTGCATCAGAGTAATTGGACCCATAAAGTGTCATATATGAAATTGTGTTGATCCCTATACTGTCATTGTTCATTCTATGACCAGATACCTGCAAAAGGTGTCATCACCAGTCACACCAGTTCACTTCACCTAAGTGCATCAGGTGTGATTGCTAGCCAACAATATGAAAATGGTATTTTAACCAAAGACTGTATAGAAAGATGTAGGCCTGCGTCCTCATGCATCAGTCAGTCACAAGCTGTATGTTTTTGCCATTGGTATAGATCAATGAAGCTGAGGGCCCTTTTTTCACTCCTACAAGACTATAAATCTTTTGGCCATCATCGTCTATGATTCATTAACCCTTTCACGCATAGTGGTCGCTACAGCGGACCGCTATTCAAAGGCCGTTTTCTTGTATTTGTGTCAGTGTTGATGGTATACTTGCACATAAACCACTACATTGGACATTGATGTGCCACTCCATACCCTGCCACCCACTGGTTGTTTAATGTTACTATAGATGTACGACCTGTTTCATTGTAATTATTGTTATTTAACTCTGTCATGCATGACTTATGACAACCCCAATCAGGGTTTCATGAGTATTTTTATTCATCTTTTCAAGCCTAAATATGAATAAAAATATGTTAAAAAAAATCCTGATTGAGGTTGTCACAAGTCATGCATGACAGGGTTAACTTCCTAATCACACAGACTGAACAAATAATAAGCTTAAGTTAATCTTTTGCCCTGTTTTATTTACATATATTTGTGTGTGTGTGTAAATCATTGAAAGAAAACATCCTAATGACCCAGCAGGACCTCGTTCAATGAATGGAAAAAGCTGAATGTCACAAATCAATACAGACATGAGCGCACAATATTGCATTACTGGACTGTTATTTTGGTTCATTGGGGGTCTGAAACACCAGTGAGACTTCTTTGTGTCAGCCAATAACACATTTGTGCAGATGGATGGAAACATCTCCCTCTCCAGATCATTTGCTCAAGGATGTACAGAGCGAACAGGAGAGAGAGATAGACTCTGAACTTGCTAGGTGCAGACTGCACACAGAAAGCAGCTGCTGGCTGTCAAAGGTCAAAGCTGAGAGTTCTTTACTGTTTCTGACACAGCGTGTGCCTGCTCAGAAACACCATATAAAGAAAAAAGGTTTAAGGTTTTTGTAGCACACACAGAAACTTCCTCCTGAAGTTATAACATCAGAAACCTGTCATCCATGTGCCTTTATTGAAAACATGGTAGTAACTGTTCTGACTTAGGGAAAAATGTAAATGTTGCAAACATCACAGTCGCGCCTGCTGCTGCTGGAGATGATGTGGATGGACAGGAACAGGCTAGTAAAAACAAATCACAATGTTGACTTGTGCTTAGAGCTCTGGCTGTTGGCATCGTGTAAAGATGCTCCCACTCTCTGGGGTTTTGAATTTGGTTCTGATATCACTCATACACAGCATCTGTCGCATGGAGCCAGTTTGAAGAGAAGGCAAGGCTGCACTCTTGTGGAGGATTGTGAGCACATCAATGCGACCACTGTCCTGCACATTAACTGCACAGTTTGCTGAACCATGTTTAGGTTTGCAAATCAACCAACTCTTGCTTACTGCTCCTAACAAGCTGCACACAGTGTCAACATTTCTGAGTCAAACAATAAGTTTACCACCCACCACAAGTGAGTTCACTGCTACTGAGACCTTAATGTCAGGTAAATTCAGAGTTGTTAAAACAGCTCAACAGCTATTCCTTACTAGTGCCTGCAAGTAAAAGGTTCATTTATGATAACTTACTCCATGCACCAAATCGAACTTTTATACTAGGTGGGGGGTGGAAAGGTATCTCATGCAGTATGCATTTTGCTCATATGCTTGAGAAGGCTGGATCACAGCCTGTCCACACAGAAACTCGACTGGAGCTCAATGTCAGATCGATGTGGGAGGTTACTTATTTTTACTGTTTAGGGTTCCCTGATCTGCCAGCTCCCACTTCAACCCCTGAAAATGGGCAGTACACACCACAGCAGTGTGATAGCATAAGCAGAACACTTTCAGATGAGTGTGGGGTTTGAATCCTGTGTGAAACCAGAGGCTGTGATTTCAACATTTTTAGTGTATTTTCTAATTTTCATCTGGTGAAAAGGAAAAAAGCAAAGGTTGGAACACAATTTATACCTCCTACACCTTTAATTGTAGGGAAAATGAACATGCTTGTTGAATAAGAGGATCAGAATAAATAACCAGGCAACTTTAGTTCTGGTTTGTTTCAGCACTTTTAATTATTATTTAGAGAGGCACAAATACAATTTATAGGGCTACCTTCCTCTATACGTGCACCCACATGCAACTTCCTGTTCCAGTCTGTGAGGCCTCCCAGCGGAGCCGGAAAACAGCAGAAACACACACAGGAAAATACACACATTACTAGTTTTGCGAGGACAATAAGTTAAATGTGTCACTCCCTGGTCCTACATAATAAATATCACTGCTCTGTGCCTAATCCCAAGTCTTAACCTTCAAACAGCCCTTTAAAGAGGGGTTAAACATTTGTTCTCACTCTGGTAAGTCTAATGACCGGTTCACAGAAACACAGCTGTACAGTACAAACACGCTCACACGTGCCTATTCTGCTCATCCTCTCACACAGCCCAAATTTTCGCCTAATATTTCTCAAACAGTTTCGTTTGGACTGGACTTCCTTTAGTCAGCCGAGCCTCAGCGACAGCTTGAGGTAGATAACATTCTGCAGTCACCTCAAAACAGAGCTGTGTAACACGCACACACACACACACACACACACACACACACACACACACACACACACCGCTGATGGAAACTTTCTTTGTATTATATAGCATCTTTTGTTTAAGGGTTGACTGTTTTCTTTATGCTAAGTTACTGCTACTCAGCTCAGTAACCAGATTAAACAAGAACAAAAAAAAAAGAATGTCTTCAATAATTTATTTTTACAATTTTCAGCCAGTCAGACTTCCTAAAACTTTACAGTTGGCGCTCACTCGTCTTGTCATTCATCCTTGGTTCCTAAAACTGAAAACTAAAGTGAAACAGTGACATTACTTCATGTAGCATGCAGCAGAAGTCATTTGCTCCTGTCACCCCCGTGGCTTCACCCCTTCTTCTTAACGCTTTCCGTCCAGGGTGCCACCACACACACTGCCCTGTGTGATGAGCATAAAGTGTTTCTGGTGGGTTAAAACAAAATGCAAACAATAAGAAAAAAAAAACTAAAACAAATAACTTCCTCCCCTCTGCCTCGTGTCATAAAACTCGTCTCGAATTAACAGTTAAAAGCAACAGAAGATCAGCGATAATGTAACAAAAACCACAAAGACCATATTTGACTGTATTTATAGAGTAACACAGGCATTAACAACTGAACAGAACACAACAAAAACACACAGGTAGCATAAGCAACAATCAAAAGTTCCAGTTTTTCTCTGCAGGGCAGTGTGAGGAAAAGGGAACTTTCTGCTTTACAGAATACTGCGGCGGCTAATTTTGAAAAGAAACTGTGGAGGTACACATGAGGAAGGAGCGGGATCCTTTTTTCCTTCTTCCTCTTGAAATGCCCTTGATAGCGCACCATTAGTTTCATCATATTAATTTCTTTATTCCTGGCAGAAATGAGGGACCTGCATTATAAAAAAAACAAACCTTCATGCTTGTTTCTAAAGATTAAAGATGGCCAGAAACATCAGCTACAGTAGGCCATGTGTCAGCTGCAGTCAAAATACTTCCACAGTTTCTTTTAAAGTCATTTTGGCACTTTTTACAGGCCCCCCCCCCCAAATCTACTCAATCTGAAACTCAAAGCCGTTAAAATTTTAAATCGGTAAAATGTTCTACGACCAACATTGAAACATGGGTATTAAACAGTATGAAGCAGTCTGCATCCTTGTATCTCCTGTTAGGAACATATTAGAGCTACCAAATGGAAAGTACACAATGAATGAAGACTGAAAACTGGTAGTGCAAAGTCAGCAGTGCTGGAACTGTCAGTACGGGGGTACAATTACACTAATTTAAATGTGTCAATTTGTGCTTTTACATCTTAAATGTATACATTGCTAAAATCAAACAATTGAGAGGCTAAAATATAGATTAACTGTGCAAAAACCTACAAACCAATCGAATTATTTACTAAGCTATCGTCATACAGCTCTTAAAAAAAGAATATATTTCTTGTTCCCAACCAGTTGTTTCTCTAGACACCATTCATGCTTCTAGCTATGGCTTTTTCCCTATTAAGATAAAAGCTACAGTTTGAGGGTGGGAAATCAAAAATGCAGAACCCGAGATCTGAAAGGCTTCCACTCACTAAACTGGGATAAGATGCTTGTTCAGCATCCTCCCAACTGGTCCTTCCATCAACTCATTCAGCTGCAGACATGACTCCACCCTTCAACAACATCAAAGCTCTCCAGTCTAAAACAGAACATTTCAGCAGCTTCTCAACAGACTGACAACATTTCAATGAAAACATCACCCCACATGGAGCTTTGAAAACAGCAAAAGGGTCATTTTTGCACTTTGTGCATCTTAACTTAAATCCATTAAGTGCATGTTTTTCTCAGGTCCAGCAAAACAAAACAAAGACTATAAAGCTCATATCAACACATTCACTTCTTCTCCGCTCGTCTTTACACAGTGAGTGCCATAAACTTGTCACAGTGTGTGAATGTGTGCTTGAATGGGTGGATGACTGGATATGTAAAGCGCTTTGGGGTCCTTAGGGACTAGTAAAGCGCTATATAAATACAGGCCATTTACCATTTACCAACATCGACACAAAGAGGACAGAGTGTGAAAATGTAACAGAACACAACAAGGTTGTCAGATGTAAATGAAAGATATAAAGTGTCTCTATGCTCTATCTTCTGTGCGCAAGGGTTCTCTGGTCCAGCTGGACGCACGCTGTGCTCGGCTTATTCGGCGCCAACGATTTCCTTCATCCTGACGTATTTTAGGTCAACTGTCAGTCATAAGGTGGTCCCGCCTGCCAACAACCCCTGCCCTTCATTAAAAACCAAAATTAGGCTTCTTCCTCACTGCGCGGTTTCCATGGCGATGTGCCAGTGTTGGGTGCAGGGTAGGCCATGAAAGTTTTGGGGGGATTTTTAGGAGTAGATGGTGATGACTTCACGGCCACCACCTCGAACCAGGAGGACCCGATTCAGACCCTCGAGGAGAACCTCCAGGAACTCCATGTCTGAGAAAACAGCAGTCAAGGTAAAGCACACACACAGGCACACCAGGTGTCACACCCCACCTCCCAATGAATGTGCAATGAATGCGTGATCATTGGCCAGTGTGATGCTTTTAGCCACGTGAGAGGAGGGTGGGTCGGGATTATTAGCATAGACATGGCACGTTTTATGCCCAGCTGTTTGGACCCTGCACTGACACAAACCTTGGCACACACTAAGCCACTTTATTGCTCTGCAGTGACTAATGTATATTTACGTTATTCTACTTTGACTCTATTAGGATATTGAGTTGCATACGATTCAACTGTTTTGAGCTATTTGCATGTGTGTTGTGTTTAATTAAATTTTTAACTGTTATAACAAATGAATTGCCCTGCTTTGGCATAAATAAAATATATGTTAGCTTAAATATCCACCTCCTCAGCAGTTTGTGTTCTCTGCCTGTGTCTGTCAGCTGTTCGCTCCACAGCAGGGTGTGTGGCAGGCGGCAACTCCGTATATCACATAACACTAATTAGCACTTACGTGGGTCCATATATAGCCATTTCTGGTTCAAAAAACCCAACATTGTGGCTACAAACATGCTACTGTTGTGTTTAGACCAAACTATTCTGCAACGTACAAATACTCTGCAGTAATTTAAAAAAGAGAGAACCACTTCTTTCTAAAGTACAATCAGCAGATGGATTAAATAACAGAAACACTTCCTTGCGATCACAACCTTTTCCTAATACAGTCGTAACATAAAAACAACCATTTGAAGGATACAGTTTTCATCTCCGCCTCTGTTTCTCGGTGGTCCAGGCATGTTAAGCAGAACCAGATGAGCTCCCTGTGACTTGTTGACCACCACCTCATTCAGCTTGACAGCAGTGTGCATGCGACGGACATTCGTCTGGTTCCTAGTTTGACAAGAGCATCCACAGTGAGAGAAGCCACAATGAAGAAAACATTAATGACCACGATGTCACGTCAGCAACGTTTTACGCAGTAACTCATGCACATTTGACATCAGCTTCAAACACACATGAGAAATGATGCTCGGCACAAGCATTAAGAATTTCACATAACGTGTAGAGGCAGCATTTTGAGAAAGACAGATGAATCTGAATCATGTCAACACTTTATTTAAGATTAGGCCGAAATATAACGTCTTTATTGTGTAAAGAATCAGCTGTCTCCTTAAATGCTGCCTCTTCATCTTCACCTTTGTGAGATGATATACAGCACGCAATGTCAACTGCCAAAAGCCAAATTACAAGGCGATGTCACAGGATTTCCAATCCATGCTTTCCATTCAACTATAAATACGGATGATCTGATATCCTCGTGTTGGTGTTGTTCCCAGACCATCATGAAAATGTTGTTCCAGGTTCAACATTGCAAGTGACCAATCACATTGTTGTGATGTTATTCCTTTGCGCGCCAAGCCATTCGTGCATTTATGAAATTCCAATGTTGCAAGGACAATATCAATTCTGCTTACTGTTTATTAAAGGGTTACGGTTAGGGTTAGGGTTAGGGTCAGGGACGTCACAACATTCTGATTGGTCACTTGCAATGTTGATCCTGGAACAACATTTAGTATGATGATCTGGGAACAACACCAACACGAGGATATCAGATCAACCTATAAATACACACTTTTAGTTTAATGCCGTTCTGAATGAATGTTTTTTCTGTTTGACTATTTTTTGAAAACAGTCAATGGAAAGCACAAATTCTCATGTTATAAGCTGTAAATGCAACATAACCCAGCAGAGGCTTTAGCCACCAACATGCTGTTTGAAGCAGGAAGATGAAGTCGGTGCACATTAGGGCATGCAAACAAGGACAACACAGATACATGGAGGTACGAGCACACGAGCTGGAGCACATAGTCACCACAGTAGCAGAACACACAGGGCCTAGGGCAAAGAGAATGCGACTTACAGACTCTCCCACTCTCTAGAAGGAGGAAAAATGGGACAAAACAACAGAAACCAGCTTAGATGCTTCTACATCTGCTCGGCAGCTCTCCCCACCACACTGCATGCTTCCAAATGTCCCAAATGACTCGCAGTGACACCCGAAGGTGACTCGAGTAAACCCCAGAAAGTGACATGGAGCTCTTTGATGTGTAGGGTGAGGGAATCTGAAAAGTTCTTCCGGTCCGGCAAGACTTGGGATTTTGGGGTTTTAACTTAATGAGCCAATGGAAGTGAACTGGGGCATTTCTGATGGAGTCCACTGACAGTGTGGAAAGTATGGGAAGAGAAGGTGTTAGTCTATTAAGTGTGCACACAGATTGGCCATACATTAAAGCTGAAATGGCTGAAAGTGCACACACGCGCACGCACACCAAATGCAGCCTGAATGCACACGCCATGCACAGTTGTCCCATTTCACCCTCTTGGGGTCAGTACTAACACTACTCCTACTCATGCTCCTTCTCTGAGGTTTGGCACCATCCTGAACTAATATCAGTACTGGGTGAGCTTCCGGTCCCTCTGAAATGAACTTTTATGAGATATTACGTTTGAGAAAAATGATTCAAAATGGTGCAAACGTCCCTCACAAGGCACATGCAGTAACACCATGTCACTTTAGTGTATTTTACTAATATAAACTCTTTTTATCTTAAAATTTCAAACCTACAGATCAACACGTTTTTTTTTAAATCTAGCAACAAATACACAAAAGTTTTCTTATTTCTCAATTAAATATTGTTCAGGCAAGCGAGTACTTACGGCTTCATGTTAAACAGGTCACGTACAGCAACGTTGGCATTGCACTCGCGGTTACGGTTACGCTCTGTGAGGAGCTTGTCCTTGGTCCAGGTCATGTGAACCTGCTCGGGTTCAGCATCAACCTTATCGTTTATTGTGGCGTGAGATGCCGTGTTTCTGTCGTGGATGAGCTGGGCCTGGAGGCGATGCAGAGAGTAGGATGAGGACAAGAGCAGAAGATTAGTGGATATGATTATTACCAAGAGAAGTTTCAGGGCACAGGAGAAAGAAAACAAAAGAGAAAAGGAAATGGGAACTCATCCAACATACCCCCTAAGGCCTGTCAGATAGACTTTTCTCATCAACAACACCTCTCATGTGAACTCACTTTATAATAGATCTGAACTACTTTCAGCGCTTACAGTCACAGCTACTTTTTCCATTATATATTCAGTGACCAGTTTTAGATAATTGTACTTAGCAAACAGTTGTGGTGTAACCATACGACGGTGTGGGGGAACTCCAGGCCACAATGCAAGTTTTAGATATCATCCTGTGTCAACACAGCTGATTTAAATGGCTAAATTACTTCCCCAACATGTATTGGAGTCCTCCACAGGGGTGCTAATGAACTAATCAGTTGATAAAACATCTAATCACTTGTTTTACTGGGCTTGATACTACATGTAAAAATTCTTTAAATAGAGAGGAAAAATGTTTTTTTTTGTAGCTGGCTAGCCATTTATCCAAAATATTAAGCTAACAGTTTATTACTTTTTCCACACGCCTAACAATTTAACAATTAACCTAAGATTTTATACTCTTAGCAATCATTTTACACCTAGCTATTTCAACAGTTTTCTTTTGCCATTTAGTTCAATCAATGATACAGTGGGTCAAAAAAGTATTTAGTCAGCCACCGATTGTGCAAGTTCCCCCACCTAAAATGATGACAGAGGTCAGTAATTTGCACCAGAGGTACACTTCAACTGTGAGAGACAGAATGTGAAAAAAAAAATCCATGAATCCACATGGTAGGATTTGTAAAGAATTTATTGGTAAATCAGGGTGGAAAATAAGTATTTGGTCAATAACAAAAATACAACTCAATACTTTGTAACATAACCTTTGTTGGCAATAACAGAGGTCAAACGTTTACTATAGGTCTTTACCAGGTTTGCACACACAGTAGCTGGTATTTTGGCCCATTCCTCCATGCAGATCTTCTCGAGAGCAGTGATGTTTTGGGGCTGTCGCCGAGCAACACGGACTTTCAACTCCCGCCACAGATTTTCTATGGGGTTGAGGTCTGGAGACTGGCTAGGCCACTCCAGGACTTTCAAATGCTTCTTACGGAGCCACTCCTTTGTTGCCCGGGCGGTGTGTTTTGGATCATTGTCATGTTGGAAGACCCAGCCTCGTTTCATCTTCAAAGTTCTCACTGATGGAAGGAGGTTTTGCCTCAAAATCTCACGATACATGGCCCCATTCATTCTGTCCTTAACACGGATCAGTCGTCCTGTCCCCTTGGCAGAAAAACAGCCCCATAGCATGATGTTTCCACCCCCATGCTTCACAGTAGGTATGGTGTTCTTGGGATGCAACTCAGTATTCTTCTTCCTCCAAACACGACGAGTTGAGTTTATACCAAAAAGTTCTACTTTGGTTTCATCTGACCACATGACATTCTCCCAATCCTCTGCTGTATCATCCATGTGCTCTCTGGCAAACTTCAGACGGGCCTGGACATGCACTGGCTTCAGCAGCGGAACACGTCTGGCACTGCGGGATTTGATTCCCTGCCGTTGTAGTGTGTTACTGATGGTGACCTTTGTTACTTTGGTCCCAGCTCTCTGCAGGTCATTCACCAGGTCCCCCCGTGTGGTTCTGGGATCTTTGCTCACCGTTCTCATGATCATTTTGACCCCACGGGATGAGATCTTGCGTGGAGCCCCAGATCGAGGGAGATTATCAGTGGTCTTGTATGTCTTCCATTTTCTGATGATTGCTCCCACAGTTGATTTTTTCACACCAAGCTGCTTGCCTATTGTAGATTCACTCTTCCCAGTCTGGTGCAGGTCTACCATACTTTTCCTGGTGTCCTTCAAAAGCTCTTTGGTCTTGGCCATGGCGGAGTTTGGAGTCTGACTGTTTGAGGCTGTGGACAGGTGTCTTTTATACAGATGATGAGTTCAAACAGGTGCCATTCATACAGGTAACGAGTGGGGGACAGAAAAGCTTCTTACAGAAGACGTTACAGGTCTGTGAGAGCCAGAGATTTTCCTTGTTTGAGGTGACCAAATACTTATTTTCCACCCTGATTTACCAATAAATTCTTTACAAATCCTACCATGTGAATTCATGGATTTTTTTTTCACATTCGGTCTCTCACAGTTGAAGTGTACCTCTGGTGCAAATTACTGACCTCTGTCATCATTTTAAGTGGGGGAACTTGCACAATCGGTGGCTGACTAAATACTTTTTTGCCCCACTGTACATTTCTTTTACTGTTAATTTTCCCTGTTGTTCAGGTGTGCTTAAGTTTTCAAATACAGTAATTTGCAATTTCAGTTTTTTTCATACGAGTTGGACTAATCTTTCAGGATGCTGAACCTTCTGCTTGTGCACAAGTATCCCTTTTGGAACTTGGGAATTGCTGATATAATATCAATGGTATGACAGGACTGAAGGGAATGATGACATTTAAGAAAGAAGAGTGAATAGCGACAGAAATACAAACCTTTACAACACCACACGTGGTGGATGTGATGGTCCCAACAACTGAAACATTTATGTGTGCAGGTAGCGGTTATAGTAAAGTATTGTGCAAACTCAAAGGTGATAAAAGGTGTTTAAATGTTAACGCATGCTTTGTAAACTTTTGGTGTGTGGATAGCACAGAAATAGTGCACAGCACGATATGTCCCACGGAGTGGAGCACATCATATGTGATTAATACATTAAATACCATTGAGTTTTGTTGGATTTGACAACAATAGTGGTCACTACTGTTCAATATCAGCAGTTACATCTGAACTAATGCCACTGACAGAGAAGAAGAATACATTATCTGCTGTAAAGCTGTGAACAGAGCTGTCTTTCTTCACTAGTACCGTGTTTACATTTGACTGACGCTTAGTTTATCTTAAAAAACAAAAACAAAACAGTGTTCTCTGATACTCCAGCAGGCTAATAACACAGAAGATTTATTAAAGGTAGATTTGTTTTATTCACTGAAGGTGCTGCAAATAAATCAGTGTAATACAAATATTTTTGTTTTCTGTAGTATAGTATTTTTAACCTTAACTACCCACTGTGGTAAAACCAGACAGATACAGTGGGAAGAATGAATGGTAGGAGGGTGGAGGGAGGGATGATGTGTAGGTTCTGACTATGGTTAGAATGGAGCAGAAAGAGGACAGTATTGTCATTTTCAAAGATAGTAGATAAACAGCACCCTCCCCTCCCTCCCCTAAATGTGAGAATCAAACTGTTCAGCTGTAAACACATGAGTCTGATGGTATTAGTAACGTGAAATGTTATTTACACTCTTCAGTTTTCTTAGACAATACTGCCCACTCTTGCCAGGGGGTGAGGAATAGGTGGGGTGATGGAGGTAATGGGCCAGGCAGCAGTTTCAGGATGCAATGGGCTGGTATTCACAAAGCAGCTCTTGCTGACTACACAGTAGCAGGTAGCACTACTGTTGGGCTAATCTGGACCGGTGGCTTTAATGATCAGATGTTCTGGTATAATAAAGCATCTACTTTTGCTGGACAGTCGTAAATTTAAACAAAGGTTATAAGCAATTTTTAGCCTGAACAACATCAAACACACAAAAGATCCAATTGGGAGGAGACACAAATCCCATGGGGGTTGCATCACAGAGGTTATCCGGCATTTAAAGGAAAAAAGAAAATGATAAATAAAAATCTGCCAGGTTAAGTATACGGTGTTGCCATGGTTACCCCTTGTGGATAAAAGAGGGGGGGCACTGAAAGAAGCCACTCAAACATGAATTGGCTTATTACCAGTAACAGTAAGTTTGTAGTTGTGGGCAAAGCAGAAGATTGCATTTGTGCGTCTTACTGCTGGCTTTGGCCAGACAGAACTGGTGAACTGGCAGCAAAGACATGATATATCATGGTTATTTATCACTCTACTACCCTAGAATAAGACCAGTACACCAGCCATGTGGTGATACTAAGGATAAACTAGAAGGTTAAAATAACAAAGGGTTACCCAGAGAACCCTGCTCACCAATTTTGTGTAGAGCTTTGATCATGACACTAAAGATGTGTATTAGACATCTGCGTTAAGGCAAGCTTGTTAAGTAGAACAAAACTGCATTTCCAACAAGAAGTCAACATTAGAGTGTTAAATGCTCAACTTGGAACTATGTCTTCATCATAAAGATGGAAATTGTGGGATCTGATTTCCTTCCTTACTACATTTTCTCCAAACTTCCCTCTTTCTATCTTTATTTATTACAGTATGCATTACGTCCATTGTCCACACTATTCCAGTAACTCAGTAATAATGCAACGCTGATCACTTGCGCATATTTTTCTGGCAAATGTGAAACAGAAAATGTGATTTTAAAACGTGATGATGATAATGCAGCCAAATGATGAGCAACACCTGTAGCCAAAGATGGAGCTTTGTGAAGACGGGCCTGTGTCGTTACCAGTAAGGGAACAATGGGTTGACAAGATCAGCTACCTCATCCTCCTGAGCATCCTCCGTCGTTGAGGACTGCCGGCTGAGGCTCGCGTTCTCGGCAGGGCCCTGGTTCTTCCTCCGGATTGAGCTACGCGATTCGTCAGTGATACTCTGAATCTGAATGGTGCGGCGAGGCCCAGAAAGGCAGTGGCAGATGAACAGGAAAAGGGGCCAGCAGGCATTTAGCTTGATGTTGGGCCATGAGTGACTTCAGTGTCATAGACTGTTATTCATGTGAATGACCTCTTAGTTGTTTTTTAAATACTATCTGGATGAGTGAGTAAATTGATTGCTGTGCTGTGTGTGCTATTAATCATTTTGCATGTACACATATACATGCAATGTATTAAAAATGCATACAGTAGGAATAAATGCATTTAACTGAGTATAAAAAAATGCATCCACATTTGTTGAACAGCAGCAAACAGACCAAGTGAAGGTTTGTTTTTAGCGCTTCTTTACCTCTCTCTCCCTCTCAGTCCTGGAAAGGTGCATCTGTTTCAGCATCTGCGACCTCTGCTCCATCACAAGAGTCTTTTCATAGGTGAAGGCTGAGATGTCATTGTCATGCTGCAAAGGGGATAAACACGGGCGTTACAGCAGCCACATTATTTTTCAGGGACGATGCCAATGTGGGTCCTCTGACAAACTCCTCACAACATTCATCATATTAAGACAAAAGTAGGCACTGAATTGTTGAAAAACTTCAATAACCATCCTGCTTCCCATTGCACTTAGACATGAATACCATTCAGGGCTATCCTTGGGTGATGCTCACCATCTCTACAACTTCCACCTCTGCATCCAGTCGCAGGTGATAAAGGAACATCTGGAGATCTTTCTTCATTTGGATGCTGTTGTCGTCCATCTGAGCTACAGTAAAGATGCGCATCTTACACTTCCTCCACACCTGGAGGGGAGAAAGGCACCATTATTATGGAAGATATGGAGTAACAGCACGGTAAACAGGATGGATAAGGGACAGAAGAATGTCAGGCGGGACAGATGGGTGTGAAAGAAAGGCTCTGGGTGGAATAAGAAATAGAAGAAAATGCTGCTGAGCTTAAGATGGTTTCAGGAATAAACACAATCCAAACTAGTCCAACCAACCTTGTGCTGTCGAAGCAGGAAGGGCAGCAGCATCAGCAAGCCCCCATCGTGAACCACCCACCACACATCAATAGTGCCCTCTCCTAGGCGGTCCTGGTTGGTGGGGAAACTGTCCACATTCTTAGCCACAAGTAAGGCCTGATGGGCTGCTGTGGTTTCCCGGATTGTCTCTGGATGAACAGAAGGACAGACAGAGGGTCTATGAGAGATAAATCACTGTGCTGCATTAAGTCACTGCCATCTTGACAGAGTAATGACAGACAGCAAATGTCACATACGATGTCTTCTCTTTATCTACACTGTATTTTAAAATAAATTACGACATATATTCTGTTATTGTGTCCCTATTTTTGCAATTCTACTGCACGGTACCTATGAAATTCCTCCATGACTGTGGGTCATTGGACTGTTTCCAGGCTCCAGGCCAGGCCATCAGGACTGTGTTGTGCTTCATGCCTCCCAAGCCTGCAGACTGGATGAGGTGTGAGACACCATCTCTAAGGTTGGAAGACACTACAACATGACAGAATCCTTTGGTACGCTCTGCAGACATTGCAGCCTTAATGTTCTGTAGAGAGAGAGAGAGAGAGAAAAAGAGGACAGGGATTTCATCGTTAATCATAAAAGAGACTAAAACTGATTCACTATTAAAGTTGCACCAACTGACAAAACAAAATGTGTTTTTTCCAGAGAAGATATGGCTACACTACAGCAAAGTTTCCCTGCTTAGCTAAGCTAACACTTCAAATAACCTATTTGTTAGTTACTCACATCCATTCAGGATAACTTGTACTGATGGATCTGAACAATAAATAATTTTGTACATCTGTAAAGTTGCTTCTGGGCATGACTGCTTCAACAGAAACTGTTTTTAAGGAGGATAAAAGTTAAAACCAGCCTGAAAGAATCACATGAATTGCTTATTATGGCCAGTAGGTGGCAGAGTTTATCTGCAGTTAGAGTCTATAAAATGCTCTAAATGCAGCTTGATAGTACAGATTTGCCTTTGGGTCCAGTGATGAATCTGAAGCCCTTGAAGCACAGATAAGATAGCAAGCATTACAACTGATATTAAATTATTAGCAACTGCAGATCAATATTAATGACAGTATCGCCACCTGCCTTTTATTTGCACACTTGTGCGCGTGCTTCCCCACCATACCTGCTCAGCCTTCTTAGACTCCGACTCCTTAGTGAGGTAGGTTCCCTGCAAAACATTCCCCACTATTGTCAGGCCTTTCCCTGCCTTCAGCTGGGTGGTGAAGGAGACCAGGCGAGGGTGTTTGACTGCTTGATCTGAGTCCACGTTCAGAAGCACCAAAAGCTGAGGCCTATGCAGATTGAGAGGGGAAAACAGTCTGGCTTAATTTTACTTCATTCTTTTAAACTTCAGGAATAAAAACAACACCAACAAATATTTTGGATTTAAATTTTTTGCACAATTATCAGGTGCACAAATTCAAATTACAGTGCAAGGCCTGTAATCATGTGACATAACAGCTGTTTGTAAAGAAAATACTGTTGAAATGTTGGTGCGGCAGTATTATTGTCGCACTATTGGTTCTCACTCAGCTTTGCAGGGACATATGTTGAAGGTAGACAGTGAAAAAGAACAGCTGGTAACTGGAAACAGCAGACCCTTAAGAAGAGTACCCACTGGTTTGGAAAGAAGGACTTCAAGGTCAGTGTGAGCCTCACAGTATGAAGGCTTATCAGCTGCTCATGACAGATTAGGAAGGGAACCAAAAGATTAATGAAATTCATCCTCTGTGTCTATTCTTGTCTTGTTATTGTCCATCCCAACACAATATCAACTGTAAACACACACACCCTCAAACACCCATACCTCCAGTTCTTGGTGTGAGGTGGAGCATCCTCAAGTCGATTGAGGGCATAGCGGGCAGCATTAAGAGAGAGGCCTCTGATACCGTCACCCCATTCCTTCTCTGCTCTGTTAAAGCAAACAAATGAATGAAAAGCACTCAGTGATAAGAGAAAAGTAGCAATCCATTTAGGGCAGTAAGAACTCCTTTAGGGATCATATGCAGTTTATTGCGGCAACATGAGCTACTTTTAACACGGTGCAAGCAAAAATAAAACAAGAACCTCAAGAGCTTCTCTCCAGATAAATTATTTCCTCTCTTTACAGTGTACTGAGTTTCTCGGTCACATCCATTATCTCGCAATCTTACCCTCGGTATTCAATGTATTTGTAGATGCAGCCAGCGATGACCATAGCAACAATAGCGTAATACCAGGAGGAGATGAACATAATAGCAAGACATAAGCTCATTCCAAGGAAGGACAAAGCCCTGAAAACAAGAAAAGAAAAGATTAAAAAACAATTTACATGCTCATTTAGTTTTCTGTGCATTCATGGAAATGTCTTTATAAAGTGAAAACAGCTCAAGCTAGAGAGATGAGAGGCTTAGGATTCAATAGAGTAATCAAAATCCACAGCTAACAATAGTGCCGTTTGCCATTGTCCTTAACCTGTGTTGTGGAATTAATCTTCAGTAAAGGCTAAATGGTTGTGCCTGTGGCTGTGAAGGTGTCTGTGTATGAGGGATTCCTGCCACACGTCCAAAAATCAAAAATCTAATTTGATGGCTTCAAATTAACGAGGACCTTTAACAGTCTGTGGACACCAGTTCGACATATAATACAAGATATATGATGTAAACATGCAAGGATGTTTACCACATCACCCACCAGTGGTAGTACTTAAAGCGTGGTCTCCAGTTAGGCGTTCGCAGCAGGGTCTGAACAGCACAGGCAAGATTCACAAAAAGGTAGCACATGAGGAAAAACCTGTTGAGGAGGGAAAACAGCAATCCAAAAGTTCTGGTCACTTTTCAAATAATAAATCTCCACTTTATGATCTACTGTAAGCAGCTGTATACTTGGGGGATCACAGACTTGATCTGCTGAGCTACTTTTATGGAATGAGATTGCATAATATTTCTTTCAGATACTGACATTGACAGGATGGGCGCCACAGCGTCCAGGGAAGCGATGAGGATGCCGATCTCACAGATCCCAGCAGTCAGCAGGAGAGCCCAGGTTGGTTCCCCATTGGCTTTCCCGTGACCAAACACCTACGAGCAGATGCAGCCAAGTGTGAACGTTGAGGCACGTAAGACTAGAAACTGAAAGTATTAGTGTCTGCTGTTAGTGCTGTTTGAGTCAAACCGTCAAACCTGTAGAAAGGGTACAATGCCATCTCGTGCAATAGCCTGCAGCAGGCGAGGGGCACCGGTCAAACTCTGCAAACCAGCCCCACAGCAGGAGAAGAACGAGCCAATCACAATAACCCAGGGAGAGGGCCATGACAGGGTGCCGATAACAAGGTTCCCCTTTACAGAATCGCCAAATCTGCAATGCAAAAACAATTATGTGAATGACAAACGCTGTTATTCACAAATATTGGAAGATTTAACAAAAACTGACAGGACAGTGTGGTGATGTTTTTATTCCTGTTTAAACCATTGGATGCTATAAATGAAGAAGACGTGCATGTTTGAGGCATATTTTCTCTCCATTTCCATTATTAAAACACATTCATTCAGCACACTGTCCATAGTAACGTTGAATATGTTAAGCTCTTACTTATCTCGAAGCAAAACTCCTTCAATACAGGCGCCAAACAGAACCACGGAGGTGATATCTGGGAAGCAGAGCTAAGGAGAACGAACTGCAAAGCTGTACACACTGAAATCAACCACATCCTGGCTGGTGGTTAATATTAGTCTTTAATTCTTGATTTTAAGTTCCTCAAAGATGAAAAAAATCTGGTGACTGTTAGATAATCTTCCACTGGCAAGTTTAATAATAAACTGTGGTCGAATCAGTTTTTCACTTTTCTGGATCAGAGGTGTAATAAGATTTTTTTTAATTTATCAGTGTTCTGTGTGACTTGTTATCATATCTGGTAACAGTGCGAGGTTGAAGGATACAGATGATGGAAGTGGTAGTGATAGCGAGGATGGTCCCAATGGGAATGGACTTCTGGGCATCTCTCAAGTCACCTGAGCGGTTTGAACCAGCCATGATACCTGAGAGGTGACAGGGTCACAGTCAAAAGTCAAACAGGTCATCTTCAGAGACTCCTATGGCTGTCTCTCAGCCATAACGGATGTTAAAAACTGTCATGCACGTGTACAAAGAATGAGTCTGTTGCTTATGGCGCCAGCTTACCGGTGACAGAGGGAAAGTAGATGCCGACCAGCAGTGTGAAGAAGGTGGTGATGTCGTTGACTACATAGGGCATGTAGATGTCCTGGGTTGGGTCGCCACCCTCAACCGATGGCAAGTTGCTCTTTTCCACCAACATACCCAGAGGGCCGTATGTCGACCACATATTTTCTACAAGAGAGACAGAAATATTCTAATTCATACTGCAAACAGCATAATGTGTTGTGAAACGCATGTACTCCCAGGACACAAGTTTAACTGTTTAACTCCTCTCTGGAGGGGAGAGGGAGGGGAAACAGGTGGACAAAGGAGGGGGGAACAACTAAGCTGTAGTGCCTCTTCACCTCACTGTGCAATACCTTTCGTGCAATACTTTTGTTAATAGTCAACAGTGCAATAGACTCCATACTTGAAATGTGCAATTCACTTGTATTTTTATTTGTATTCCTATTTATTCTATTGATCCCCTTCGTATATTTTATTTATATATGTCTCTGTATTTATATATATGTGTGTGTGTGTGTGTGTGTGTGTGTGTGTGTGTGTGTGTGTGTGTGTGTGTATATATATATATAATATTCTGTAACTGTAACTTCTGTCGGTGCTGTGCTTTTGGAAACCGAATTTCTCAGAGGAACCCACCCGAGGGATTAATAAAGTTTTATCTTATCTTATCTTATCTTAAGTTATCGAGAAGAGATGATGAGCAGCGAGCGAGGAGTATGTCTTTTCAAGTTGTGGGAAAATCCTTTGCCTGCTACCCTGAGAAATCCACCAACACGAAGCAGATAAAATGACTTTATTTATCTGTTTAAATTACATTAGTGCTGGGAAAAAATTAGATTGTAGTTTACTGCACACAAATGCAACCAGAGGGCAGTCTCTGCAGGTGGAACATTTGTTTGAGCTCAGTGAACTGTGCAACATATTGCAGCAAGTACTAAACAGGGTAATGAGTCAATTGTGTGGCATTTATTTAGTGTTGCTGATAAAATTGGGACAGCACGAGTGAAGATGTGCAGACTGCTTGTAGAAATGTGTGGCTATTCTTGGCACTAGATCACTATTCAAACAACTAATCAGCAGTTAGTCCTCCAGCAAAAGTTTGTGATAGAAGGCAAGGTGTGAATGAAATGAAAATTTCAATTTAGGTAGGCAATTAAATTAATTTAAATAAAGCACTGCTAACGTTAGTGTGGCTAACGTTAGCAGTGCTAGCCTCAGCATGTCTACATGCCTATACTAATGTGCATATATGTCACTTTACTCAAATATATAATTGTTCCTTTTCTAGCTCAAAATAGTACTGGACAAAGTGAACCTTTTTAGATTTCTGACTTTCCACGTAGCTTGTTTACAACATCCGTTACATCCATTAGTGCAGGGTGAAGGGAATCTAAATATTAATAGACAATAAAATGGTTTCATTGGTACACCGATGAAACTGATAAATCATTTAATGAAATAATATTATTAAGATAAGATAAGATAGAACTTTATTAATCCTTCGGGTGGGTTCCTCTGGGAAATTCGGTTAGATAGTGAGGATGGCAAAGTTAAATTCTTAATTTAAAAACACTTTGAATGTTCAATTAGAGTAGAAAAGTGCTATATAAGTACCAGCACCAAAGCAGAAATGAATCATTAATCAAGAGAAAATTAAATATATTTCACAGAAATGATGAAAGGATGAGAGGTCAGTAAAATAACTGTCTGTTTTTAAGGAGACAGTAAAACAGTTGTGCATGGAATCACTCAGCACCTGCACAGGCTTGTCCCAGTTGCAGAAATATGACAAGAATGCATCTGCACTGGATGTTGGGAGGAAAAGCAGTGTGTCCCTGCCAGCAGTTACATAACATGAGGTATGCTCAGATTTTGCAATGCATTCAAAAAACTACTGACTGTGTACATTCTTGCTGAGATTAAGCATTCTTCAATCATTTTCATTTATAGTTTGTAGGAAGTATTCAGTGTGCCTGAAAAAACCTATTTGTTTAATCTCGCCTTTCCTGCTTGTTAATGCTCGCACCTGACTCTTAGACTTACTCTATTTTTCCTTATACATATTTTTTATGGCTTGTGCTTTTATTATGTTTTTATTTGATATGCATTTCATATTACCCCCTGTGTATTAGTGGCATTGACCTGTGAGTATATTTGACACTTTGCTAAGGCCTTATAATACTCGTGTTACTTCTCTGTCTCTTATGTTAAGCACTTTGGTATACCGCTGGTTTTTAAATGTGCTCTATAAATAAAGATTGTTGTGGTTGTTGTTGCCTGATCGATGAGGATAGGTGAACAGCTATTAAAATCTGTATGATTCAAACAAGTATACACATATCTTGGTAACTTTTTAAAAAATTCTTCCACATGTGCACACGGCTCCAGAGAAAAAAAACAAACAAAAACGGTCTGCTCCCACCTGAAATGACTCCGCTGATCAGTCCAGGGATGCCCTGCAACTCGGTCACATTGTTGTTGACAAAATACTCGTTGCATGTGGCATTGAGCTGAGATCCATCGCAGAAGAGGTTCCACAGCTGGGTAGTGACCGTTATGTTGTCTATAACCTCAATCTTATTACACTTGTCAAACTGGTGGTTCTTTAGGGTACGATTCCCCAACATGCAGACACTGTGTGAAGGAAGAGAGAAATTTTAACATGAAGCACTAATTAAACTGAAATAAATCTTAATAAATGTTAGCACTGACTCACGGAAAGTATGGCGGATCAAAGATGGTCTTGATGACTCCCGCATAGATGGCCAGGATGGAGAGAATAACACAAGCCAGGAAGACCAGTGCCAGCTTGTTGACATATTTGACCCCAACGAACACGACTACTGACATTATTGCTAGGCAACAAGTGCCATAAACACGCATGTTGTTCAGCAGGGCATCCAATTCATCCTCCTTTTTATCTGCCACAAAGATGGCTGCTTTAGGCACCATGTAGGTCTGGATGGACAAAGACAATGCAGGAAGAAATACAAAGTGTCACATTAAACGACTTCTCGTTTCATTGTACTAATAAGATGTGAAGAAAACTTTTATATTGTGGCAGTTTGTGTTTTAAATAAACTGTGGTTATGGCCCAACTGCGTTCTGCTTTCAAGGTCATAAAATGGGGAAAGCAGCAGCAAGACCACAGCAATTCAATTCAGTTTTATTTATACAGCACCAAATCACAACAACAGTCGCCTATAGGCACTTTGTATTGTAAGGTAGAGAGAAAAACCCAACAATCATATGACCCCTTATGAGGAAGCACTTTGGCGACAGTGGGAAGGAAAAACTCCCTTTTAACAGGAAGAAACCTCCGACAGAACCAGGCTCAGGGAGGGGCGGCCATCTGCCGCGACCGGTTGGGGTGAGAGAAGGAAGACAAGACAAAAGACAGCAGAACAGAGTATGCATAAATAATCACATCACTAGCAGAAGCTGGCCTGGAGACGGAGCAGCAAATGTGGTGCTGCTGGCTGAAGCAGCTTAAAAGGTGCACCCTATATGAGATGACCAACTGGATTTGTAGAAGGTATCAGAGAATCCATAAACTGATGGATATTGGGATCACTCGATCTACCAGCTGCAAATCTAAAATAATCTACTTACCAGTAGAATCTCAATGGTACCCAGGATGTACATGGAGCCAGCAAATGTGGTCCCCAGGTAAAAACAGAGACCCACAGCTCCACCAAACTCTGGACCCAAAGACCTGGAAATCATGTAGTACGAGCCTCCAGCTGGAAAAAAGGGAATGAGGGAGGAGGATATTAATATCTTTTAGGTCATCATTTCAGCTATATACTGCTATACAACCCATAAGCCTGAAGAAGACAAGTGTGTACTGTTATTCAAATAACCCCAAGAAAAAGGATCCTACCTGGAACAACACCATTAGTAGCAATTGCGCTCATGGATATGGCTGTCAGCATGGTCTGTGGAGAGACGAGATTAATGAACAAAAGCTGAACTGAATTAAAATGCTTCATGTTGAAGACCTTACAAAGATGGTGCAATGGTGTCATGTAAAAGCCCCCCAAAACAAAACACCGTCCTTGCCCACCCTCTAGTTCTTTATTTCCCTGAATTTTGTAGATTTTTCAAACAATGGTACCCTCTGTGGATTAAATTAATATTGAGTCTGTTAAAATACTTCTTATGGGCTTATGCTCTAAATCTTTTGGATTGGTAACAGATACAAGCTTTTCCATGAAATCAGTCATTGTGGAAGAGGATATTTACATCAGCCTGTTACCTAACAGACCTTCCGGATGACAGAAAGGACAGAGCGGAGAGAAGGGCAGATAAGATGCACAAAGAAAAAAGAAAATAGAGTTAAAACTTAAAAGGGTGAAGTAAAGACTGAAGGAGGACAGCGTGAAGGTGACACAAAAGCAGGCAAATGAATGAGAGGAAAGCAAGAGGAGGTGTAGAGAAAGGGCAAGGGCATGACCAAAATACACCCCGTGCTCTTTGTTGGCGTCCTATTTAAGGTGTCAGACAGGCTGGAGTAAAGCCAATTAGCTGACAGTTTTACCTCCTGCTTCCACTGAAGCACTAAGAAGCTATACACAAAGTTGGACTTGACAACGAATGATGCGAGAACTTGAAGTACAGAACTGGAAGGCATTTGTTTACTGATGACATCATTCCCACTGTTCCTGCGTCACATGGACCAATTTGTAACTCTAAAGCTACCTGCCACATGTCGGGAATTTATCAGCAGCCGTACTTGGATTTATAAAATACTCTCAACTACATCTGAACATTGAGCTCTTTGAGGTATCACAGTTTTAACCTCCTAGGACCTGGTGTCCACATTTTGGGTTATTAGACCAAAATACTCAATTTTGCTCTACAAGGGCCTGATATCCACTTACAAGGACATTATACTGCTACTGTTCTATCGAAATTTTAAACAAATATCCTCATATGTGGCTCTCATTTTTCTTAGAAACAAAAATTAGGTAAAAAAAAAATCTGATAATTCTTTGTTTTTACATTCATCAGGTCCCAATCAGCCCAAATATCAAAGAGAAATTAAAAATGCATGCCGTGGAAGAGTTTGGGTCTTAGGAGGTTAACTGAACATTAGGGGTGCAACGATACTCGTATTGATATTGAACCGTTCGATACAGTGCTTTCGGTTCGGTACGCATATGTATCGAACAATACAAAATTTATTCTATCAACTTTCCTTCTGACAATGCTGTCTGTGTTGAGCACTCAGTGGATCTGCGCTCGACAGTCCAGCCTAGGCGGAGTAGTCGAACGCAGATTCACTGAGCGCAGGGCAAGCTAGCGAGACAGAAGTTAAGCTCTCCTTGCAACATGGCAAATTGAACCTCCCCCACCCTCATTCAGATCTGGCGTTTGGAACTATTTTGGTTTTCATGTGATGTATGACCCTGAAGGTAAGCGCGTCATGGAATAAAGTAAAACAGTATGTTGGATGTGCCACGTAATGCTCAATTACATGGGTGGGAACTAGTGTGTTAGCGCAGTTAGCTCGTTAACGTGTTGGCCGTCCAGCCCCACGCACGGGGCGATCCGCGGTAGCTCGTTAACGGAGATTTGCCGTGTTGTGGCGTTAACGTCATTTCAACGAGATTAACGCTGACAGCACTAGTGGGAACACAGTGAATATGACTGCACATTTACTCCGACATCATCCTAGTGCAAAGACAAGTGGAAGCAGACAAAAACAACAAGCATGCATGCTACAAACTTGACCCGAGTCATTTAGACAGCCGTTAGCACAGGATTCTCCTTATGGGGGCCTGATATGTTTAATACGCTGCTGAGAATATAGCCCAGAAGAAGCGTATAGTATAGCTTTTATTTTGGAAAGATCCATTTCTCTGTAATAAACTCTCTTTTCCAAAGATGAGTGATTCCTCAATCAGATACAGGGCTCGCAAAATCGCTAGCCCGGGACGTCAGGCTAGCGATTTTTCCAGTCGGGCTACCAAAATCTATCTCTGCCCTGCCCGTTGGGCTATCGTAGGAAGGAAAAATATATGTCAATGCTTTTGCATTCTTTCGAAATGTCATTTTAAGAAAAGGCCCCCATTAGAACCCATGAGAAATGCAAGAAATGCATTATTGCTCAGTCTGCAATATCTTTCCCAGAACAAACACCAATTGCAAATAACATACTAAAAATAAACCTGAAAAATCTGTTTAGAACAGCGTACTATGTTGCAAAGAGTGAACTACCACTGGCAAAATTTAGCAGTCTTTGAAAACTTCAAAAAGCAAATGGCCTAGATCTTGGTTCCACTTGCCTCTTACCGTGACTTCAGTGGAAATTTCAAATTCTGATCTGACACAGACTGATTCATGTCCTACACAGTTCTTACAAGTTCATAGAAATTTCTGTTCGATTAGAACCAAGTATTTGAGTTGATGATTGTAATTTTTATACAATGTTGTAATTTGTTTTTTAACAATTTTTTGATTAATGTTTTGTTTCCTTTACAATATTATATTATTAATGTATAATATTGTAAAGGAAACAAAACAGGAAATAAAACATCAATCAAAAATTGCTCTCTTTTTTATTCAGGCTACTTCAATTTATTTTGGGCTACCAAAAACTGAAGAGTCCCTGCCCGAAGGGCTACCAGGGATTTTGAAATTTTGCGAGCCCTGAGATATATATATATTTTTTTTTATTACTTTTTTGTTTCAGCAACATTAAATTTAAAAACTGTACTTTTGAGTTAAAATATATATTTATAATTTTAATAAATGACAAATTAAAAAGGCATGAACATTTTTTTTTGTATCGAAAAAAATATCGAACCGTGACACCAAAGTATCGAGCCAAACCGAACCATGAATTTTGTGTATCGTTGCACCCCTACTGAACATATGTGTTGTCACCTAAAAGGATACTTTATTATTCTTTATTCTTATTTATCTCATACTTGAACTTCACATGGACATCTTTCTAATCCAACTTTCTTTTGCTGGCTGTGCTTAGCAAACAGAAGCTTTGATTATCAGGTGTGTGTGTTGGATTTTAAATAATCGTGTTTATTTAACTGTGGGAAGCCAAAATCATGTGCGGCCCTACTTGCACATATAAAGCAAGTAGGGCCGCACAGGTGGGAAAAGCCTCCAGTTGATCCAAAATGCTGACAGGGACTAAAAAGAGAGAGCAGGAGTTTTTCCCTTCCCGATGTTGCCAATTGCTTACTCACAGTGGGTGATCTCACTGTTGGGGGTCTCAGTATAATATTATGAATTGCAGGGTCCAAAATATCTAATATAAAACACCTAATAAGATCATTAATAACATGCTTCAAATTTGATAATTTGTGGATATTAAAAATGTAAAGTTTTGATAAGAATGGGTTTATTAATGGAAATGCACTTCACGGTTGATTCTTTGTTTAGGCAGTGTTACTCTTCAAACAGACGATGGTATGCCATTAGAAGATTTAATTATGAGACAAAAAGCATTTAGGGTCTGGGGTTTTCCTCCTTTCTACTTTGCCTGATTAAGCTGAAATAATCCATTGCCTGCCATGGGATTGGTGAATATAGCTACTGTGTGGGTGTGGACGGCGTCATGTTTCTGACAGTTTGCAGATGGACGGATTACACGTCAAGTCAGGTACCATTAGAAGCTGGACGAGCAGGAGAAATGGAGAGTCACAGTGGCTAAATATAGGAGGGATCAGTGGCCACTAATTCATCTTGCTGGCCATTCATTATGGCTGTCAACCAACCGAAGCAGCTTCTGGACCCAAAATCAGCAAAAACACTCAGCCGTGCGCACACACATGCACACACTCTTACATAATCCTGTTCTAATGAGTTAAAAGCTAAAGCCCTTGATAAAGAACAAATAATATTCAGCTCCTTCCAGTTCCTCTTATTCTATCATTTATCAATACATTGAAATGGTTTCCATCATAAAAAATAATCAGGAAGTAAATTCAAGGACAAAGGTTTGGTGTGAGATGTAGAAGGGAACACAAAACACCCATCAACGTTTACTCTGCACATAACCAGTCATACTTCCTTTACTGTAATGCAACATGGACCTAGAGTATGTTTAGCACAATGATCATGGTAACATGGCCTAATTTCAAATAATAAGGTCAGCATACTGAGCATATGTGTAAGTAGTCCATGTGAGCCTAAAGTTTCCACAGTTGTTTTCTACTTTGGATTGTCACAGATCACATCAGCCATGCAGCTGTGGCTGTTTAAAACTTGCATTTTTATAATCTTCTAATTCACAAACTTTTTAGGCCTTGAGACAAGCATTAATGCCACATTTTAGGGGGAAAAAGCAAAAAGAGAGAGACTCAGAAACAAACACATAGACTGTGATGATGAAGTACTCACACATGAGCAGCATAAGCCGACAATAGCCAAGGACTCCAAGATGCCGGCAGTGCCAACAATCCAGGTAAGGCGCAGAAACAGGATGACCCCCAGAATATTCTGGAGGCATGGGAGGTAGACACCCATGAACGTCCCCATCTGAGGGCTCTGTAAGGCAGGAAGGGCAGGGGGAGGATTTGGGAGAGAAGCGACAAAGCAGAAGATGAGAAAACATTAAAAATATTTGTGTTTGATGGAAGGAGTGATTAAGGATATGACAACAGAGGAAAGAAGTGAAAACTGCTGTGCAAACTGAAAACTGCTGAAACCCTTACAGCCATAAATAAAACAATTAAAAAACATCACCAGAGACAAAGAAGCAGAAGCAAAGAGGGAAATAAAGACAGAGTGTAAAAGAAAGTACACATTATTAAACACTGTATAAGTCAAAACCACTACCCCAAAAGTACAACTGACTTCCATCTTATTCCTTGCAAGGAATGGTATTTTCACAACAACAAGCAGAAAGACCGCAAGGAGAATGACAGGCCTACCCACCATCTAACTCCAAATGTAAGATACACCTCTTTTTCAGGCAAAGAGGTGCAAGAATGCCAAGAATGGCATCCACTTCTTTCTTTAGTAAGATGCTCCTAAAAGCCAGTGGGAGGTGCTCAAGGCCCATTTCTACACATTGGGACGAGATGGGGCAACTGGGATGTGACCCAGGCTGTGGTTACAAAAGCATGGCAGCACTGTGGAAACTACTCTTTTCAAAGAATGACAAAACAAAAGCATCGAAGGAGAGGCTGAAGGAAAGGCTTGTGCTGGACTGGTGATGGTGTTTATCAGAATTTTATCTTTGAAATGAGCCTGACCCTGCCTCTTCTTCTTGTTTACTTGGCAAAATCAGTTTTTCACTGTAGCCGTTTCACAAAACGAAATGTTGACTCAGTGACTAAACAGACTTCCTCTAAGCAGTAATACACACACGCATATTAATAATAATAACATTTTTTTCTGAGGAACAAAAACGTTTTAAGAGATGTATTAAAGATGGAAAAGCACAGAGAGAACAAAAACAAACAGCGGTGGCTTCATCGGTCAAAGACCTGGTTATATAATGACAGGTCAGCAGATTTAAAAGAACAACTGTTAATATGCAACTGTACATTACCATGTATGTAATGCATGCAAACACAAACTAAAAGCTCCACTACAGTGTGTGCTTCTTTACCTTAACAGCCTTCTTCTTTGGCCCCTCATCGTCATCAGCCTCCTCGTGCTCTTGTGCACCCTGTGAGAGATTGGTGTAGTTTGCGAGTTTACTGAGGAAGGATGACACCATGGGGTTGCTGTCCATTTCCTCCTGCAATAAAGAAACTCATCTTTAACAGCTAAACAGCAGCAGTCTTGTACAAATGACCTTTTCAAAATGACATTCAGTGGGAGCTTTTATGCTCATTTCAGGCTCAAAACTGTTATAGCTGAACTTTACTAGCAGCCTTGTATGATTTGTTTTTCAAAATCATTCCTTTAGATCTTATACTGGGCTTTAGTGCAGCCAGTGCATCTACTGTCTTCATTTTAAGCCATCTACCTTCTGACTGGCTGAATACTAAAAGAAAAGAATAGGCTGGTGGGGCTTTCATGCTCACAGACAGAGCCGTGTACCTGAGAAGCATATTCAGGAAATCTGCTCTCATTAAGTTCATACAGAGCCAAGAGTAGAAACAGAAAGTATGGTTCAGAGCAGCCTGATGCTTGAACTTTGGGCTTGCAGGAATTATATGTTCATATATATCACATCAAGGAAAAACTTCAAAGTTTAATTTGGCCTTTTGATGGGCAGTTATCGCATGAAGTCTTCCATTTGCAAAACAAACTGTGCAAAATTTTGTATTTTCATCCATTCAAAGCATATTTGAAAAGCATTCCTGGATCAACTTCAGAACCAAATGCCGCGGTTGTCTTATTGATTCTACACAAGCGCCAGTGACCACAGAGCAACAAGGTCCGCCAAATGGCAGAGGCAAGCAGCAGGCAAAGGTTCAGCTGAATGGAGTTAAATGAATGTACCAGTTTTTATGGCAAATAAACTTCTTGACTGACACATTGTTGAGCTAAGGGTAAATTGGTGCTTTTACCTCTGCGAGTTTCTATTTATTTAGTTCACCACAACTTAGACTGTTGTTCCAGCATACTTGGCATTAATGAATGGTTTGAGCTTCACAGACTAGCTCCAACTTAGGCTGCAGATAAGGTTCAGCCAGGGTTCTGGTGAATTTATAGTTTTTACTGTGGAGTTTGGGCTTTCTCCTTCCCAGCCTAAGCACAGTCACATTTCCTTGTGTAGTGGAACACACTCCTTGGCTTGTGAAATGATAGCGACATCCACATGATGATGTTGGGCAGTTACCTCAAAAAGTGCCATGTTGGTGCCATCGTAGCTGTTGCCTTTGTCGTCTGTGTTGTTGATAAAAGGACTGTTTTCCTTTGGGACTCCATCACCTGTAGAAACACAGTTTTCTCGTTATGTGAAATGCAGAGGAGATTTAACACATCGTGTAACCAAAACTCAATATAACCAGTGACTGGAAAACAATTGCTGTAAGAACCACAGTACATAATAATGCTGTTCATGGATCTTCATCCTGACAATGTTCGGTGGAAGTAAAGAAAACTTCAGATGGTTGCTTATGCAAATCATTATCACATGTTTCCATTTGTAAGGCGTTCCTCTTCTTATATCCAAGAACTTCCTGACAGTTTGGTTGACTCAGTGCAGGGACTGCCACAAATGTCATGTCACCACGCTGGTAGCAGAAAAACATTGAATGGGAGAAGCCAGAAAGATCTTTTAAGAAGACAATGAAACTATTCTCCACTAGTAAAGCTATTGCAGATGGTGTTATCTCTGAAAAAATATGATAAATTACCTTGGACAAGTACTTATACCAAGTAAGGCTGGGCCATATCATACCGTTCACGGTAATACCGGTATAATGTTGGGCAATGATAAGAAAATGAAATATCAGGATAGAATATGGGTAAAACACGCATGCGCAGTGCCTTTGTTTTCATACGCACATGGCGGAAAAAGCACGGCGGCGAGAGAGAATGAGAAGGGCAAAAGCGGATCGTTGAATGAAACAGATGAACCAGAATTGGGTTGTAAAAATGCTGCAGCTTCAGTGGTGTGGAACTGGTTTAGCTTTCGTCCATCAGATACACAACAAAGCACTATTTTTGGTAGAGCATGCTAGTGGGGCATCGTTATTAGCGAGTGTTTTGGAAAATACGGCGCACTTAAAATCGATCCTTTGATATTTCTGAAAGTCGACAGTGCCCCTTATAATCCCATGTGCCTTATGTATGAACTCTGATCGTGTTTACTGACCTCAAAACTATTTTATGTCGTACACGGCGCTGGAAAATCTGTCAAATGTTTCAGTACAACTTTGCTAAGCTACGAAACCCGCACAGCTTGATGGATTGTCGGAGCATTACGGCTATCATAGGCAGGAGCCTCACAGAGTGATACGTACTGTGCTTCAACATAATATTACTGTATTGTGTGTGTATAACCTCTTTTTAAGTTTTGTGGATATTATACATGGTTATGCTGAGGATATGTCGGCCAATTTCCACTGGAAATGCCTTTTGGTTAAACTGTCAGCGAGGAATTTGCATTTGCAGTGTTAATTTTTTATATAACTTTAATGCACATAAAAAAGCTGCTTGTTTAAGTGAAAATACATTGATGTGGGTTTTTTTGCACTAATAAAGTTGTGGAGTTGTAAAGTATTTTTTCTAGTGTCAATTATATCATCAGTTATATCATTATCTCAAATTTTCAAATGTATATCGTGACAAATATTTTTGGTCATATCGCCCTGCTCTAATTCCAAGACATCTCGTCCATGTAACATCTAAAGTTGTTAAACGGAGGTCATTATTCAGTTCATTATTCAAAAAGTTCATTATTTGCTGAGGTGATCCCTGAAGATGTCTCAGGGAGGTTTTTTTTTTTTTTGGAACAGGTTCAAAAATAAGACTCGAATTTTGTTTGACAGTACAGTCTATTAGAACACACCTGTAACCATCCATCCTGAGGACGGGGCAAGGTTTGTATTTTCATCCTACTGAAAAAAAACAATCCAACAGGTGGACGTGATTCCATCTAAAATTAATACATTACTTGCTATATTCAGTGACTCCTGCTAATAATTGTTATCTGATGTAATCAGTCTTATTTCTTTTTTGGACATACACTAAACCCACTTTGGCGTCATGCATCTGACTCTCACATCATTGCATTTTTAATAACCCACATCATGGTGATGAGATATCCATAAATAATTTATACCTAAACTAGAAATTAAGTCTTACTCTGTAAGTGCAAGTTAGCAAAGGACAGTGGGAATATAGATGGAAAGACTAATATCAAAGACATTACTACAGATCACACAAAACATATTTCGTATTCTTAAAAATACATAACAGTGCAACCAAGAGTTGTGTTGGATATTTTCTCACTGAAAATACAACACAAGTATTGGTTCCCATGTTTTTCCTCATCAAGATTAATAACACTGGTTATTTTATGGTCTGTAGCAGAGGTTTTTGAAACACGCTGTCTTTCCTCTGTGTCTACTTTGTCAACTGCATGATGAATCTTGTAGTTGTTCTGTATTACCCACAGCGACCCAGCCGTCTTCAGAAGGGACATTCTAGCACCAAGCTGAGAACCACGTCTTTGCTGCTTGGGCTGGCAAACTACACAGCAATGCAAACCAAACTTTTTGAATGAACGGACACCTTAGAGCGCAGGGTGTGATGGTGTGTGAAATCCAGATAAATGTGATAAATAAAGATCATCTCAGAGAGAGAGATTGTGTGAGTGTGTGTGCGTGCCATTCCATTAGTTTAATTTGCAGGTAATTACATTATAGTGTCAGAAATATTAAAGTGAGGAGGAGTGAACAGACGTTTAAGCAGTTGAAGCCTGCTGTGCAGAGACTAAAACAGTCAAAAATAGGTTGTGTGTTTATGACCAATAAAATGCTATAAATAAAGTCCAATGAGGCAAAAAATGAAGCAATAAATATGAGCTTCAAATGGAACTCAAGAAAAATAAACAGAGGTGGCGTGTGTAGAGTTCATACCAACGCACCCACGCAGAACAAACCCACGACAGAAAACAGAAAAAATAAGTGGACAACTCCTTTATATCCCGACACAAAAAAGGCAGCAAACTATGTTTTTCACAAAAAGCCACACCACTTCAAATGCTGCTTTCATGCATGCACACATAAACTGAGGTCAATTCTATCTGGGCGAAGACTATGCAAGTGACAACTGGAGTCTTTTTAAGCACTCCAGCTCATTAGTTTTAACTTCAAAGAAGTTAAAGGGTCACAAATTGATCACTTTTAAAAAAGAAGATGCTTATATTTTAATACAGAGGTAAAAGATGAATTGATGTTATTAAATTATGCAGGAAAGCAGAAGATCTGCTTATATTTGGCATTTTTTAACTGAAACATGCAAAGGTCAGTATTAATACTGAGTGGTTCAAATGTAAATATGTGTAAATAAAGTTGCTGTTTGAAGCTCCACAGTATAAAATGAGTCTATTCTACTTAAAAATAACACAACTGTCTGTGATGAGCCTATCCAGAGCAAAACAGCTGAAGTTTAAACACTGGCCCAAAAATACGTGCACTGCATCTCTCCACCTGTTTAGATTGATAGTTCGCAACCAGTCAGTGCTGGGCCTTTTCCATTCATCAGCAGCCGGAGCTGCCTACTGCAGAGGGGATTTCACGAGTAACTTTTGCTGCTTGATCCAGCTGCTGGGGGAATAAGAGGCTTGTAGAGTGGCTTAGCCCGTTGGTAATCACAGAGAAAGTCATTACGTCCTTGTACTGTGACACTCTGTAAAAGAGCGTTCTATGTGGGACAGCACGTAGAGAACATCAGGGAGGGACACAATATTTCACAGAGTGTGGAATGAGTGAATTTAAGGCAAAGCATGAAGCAAGTGCAGGTAAAGGTGAGTCAGCCTTAGCCAGTCATCACTTAGCTATTCTTTTCAGTGCTACACGCCACCGGTAATCATTGTCTTAAATGACTCTGGCTAAATCCTCTTTGAGACCAGGCAGCAGGCTAAAACTGTCAATGTTTCCAAATCAGGTGAGGTTTCTGTTTTAAGTCCATATGTAAATTGGTTAAGACGTCAGTCAGGAAGTGAAGAGAACCGTTCACCTGTCCTCAAGTGAAGGAAGGATCTTTGGTAATACAATCCCACGCTGCACTTAAGACACCCTAATGGACTTTTCAAAGGCATCTAATTTCTCTAATATACAGGTATCAAGCCATGATTGTTTTATGAAGTACTTTTAACGTCAAGAATGTTCAGGATTTTTTGTGATCTGAAAAGTGTAAAATAGCTATGAATGTTTGAATACACAATAAAGACGGTGAGTTGATTTATCAGTTTAACTGCATGGTTGTAGCTTTCCGAACGATGTTATCTGCAGCGTGTGAAGTGATGTCTTTAAGGTTATTTAATAAAAACAATATAAATAAAAACTATCAAGGGGCTTTACCCCTTCTTTACTACAAGCCAACAGAAACCAGAGAGACTTTCTGCATTATTATAAAAACTTTTGTTCATTTATGCATCCATTTTTCTTTGCTTCTTTATCTGGATCACATTGTTGTGTCCGACATGAATACTGATGTCATCTGTTAATTAAATCTGCAATCTCATGCTCCTTTGTTCTAAAAATATCTCAACTAGTCTGTGTGGGGCGACAAATTTGTCTCACCCTGAGGTGATCGAATCCTCCGGTGACCTTAAGACGCACTTCAACATCCTAAACGAAGAAAAAGTGCCAGGTGCCACAATCCCCCCATACTGCAATTGCTGCAGTGATTGTTGCAGTGGATTATTTAGTGGAGGAAGGGGCGGATCACAGGGACAAATACGGGGGATTCAACAGAAGATGAAGATTATCTGCACATGTCCCTCTGTCTTAAGTATAATGTGGAATGGTTTAGCGCAAATGTCACTGTATGTGTGTGAGTGTGCTTGCATGGAGGGGTCCACAGGCACATGGTCGAGATTCACATATCGCCATGGTGTGAACAGATGTTGGCCTCTGTTCACATTGCAGAAGTTGCCATCTACCTTGGACTAATTCACCCTGCTTTCAGTGATCTTATGTTTTTGTTTAAATATATTTGATTGCAGTCTAATCCTAAATTTCGTGTGAATCATATCATCAACCATATCATAAAGAAACAAATAAGCAAAAGTCTTGTTCTGGTTCTTTCCTCTTTATTTTTGCCTGAAACTAAAGCATCATGATGACTGTAGTGTTTCAAATGAGCTTTATAAATAAACCTGCCTTGCCCCAAACTACCCCTTTGTTTGGGTAATCATTCCACCAAGATTATTACCCATCCTGCTTTGCTGATGCAAAGTCCTTACATCATCTGTT